ATGCTTTTGTACACCAGTACTGATGTGACATAATGCTGATCTCGTTACAATTACACCGTGCTCGGATAGGACTATTTAATAGAAAAGTTTTTCAGATTTCTACGAAATTAGTTAAGGTTATAATTAATGCTAAATCTCAAGACTCTCTGGGATTTTGTGATGTAGCTCATTGTCTTTTGCATTTTTTTCTCCTGTGTGTAATTCAGTTGTTACTTATTATATCAGGCAATATTGAGATAAATCCAGGTCCTTCGGACAACTCCGACTCTGCCTCTGAAATCTCCTCCGAATCTTCCTACCTCTCTAGTAATGCAAGCGACTATTACGACAGTACTAAGTATTCTTTTGTTCACTTGAACGTCCAAAGTCTCCGGAATAAGATGGATGTATTATTTACCGAACTGCACAACGTCTGCGTACTTTCATTTACTGAAACTTGGCTCTCCACTAATGATAACTTAACAGATTTTACTTTTCCTGGTTATTGTGAACCGTTTTGTTATATTAGATCTGATCGTGTAGGAGGGGGAGTGTCTGTGTACGTAAAAAATGACATACCTGCTAAGCGTCGCCCCGACTTAGAGCTTCCTACTGTTGAATGTGTTTGGGTAGAATTGAATTTAGCAGGTACTACTGTACTTTATGGCACTTTCTACAGACCACCTAATTCTCCAGTCTCTACATGGGATCATATTTCACAATCGTTAGAACTTGCTTTTAATACTGGGTGTGATAATATTGTTTTAACCGGTGACTTGAATGCTGATTATTTAACTAATAACCAATCCGTTCCATATTTACACGAATTATTACACACTTTCAATTTAACCCAAATGATATCGTCTCCTACCTTTTATACTGAAAATTCTTCATCATTGCTTGATGTTATTTGTGTGAGTAATCCATATTTGATTGAGAAATGTTCTGTTGGGGAAAGTTTTCTAGACCAGCCCCTGAGGTATCACTGTCCTATTTTCTGTAGCCTAAATATAACTGTACCTAAGAAGTCGTCAATGAAACGTAATATTTGGTTATATGACCAAGGCAATTATGACATTTTTAGAGAGAAACTTTCTATTGTTGATTGGGATACTGTTTTAACATATGATGATTTAGATGCCTCTGTCGATGGCTTTGCTGATATACTCATTAACACCGCTAAGGAATGTGTTCCAAACAAAGTAGTTACTATACGTAGCAGAGAACCTCCGTGGATGACCAGTGAAATTCGTAAGTTAGCTCGGAAACGTAAAAGATTATTTAGATTAGCTAAGAGATCAGGAACCATAGAGGATTGGTGTAAGTATAAAAAAATTAGGAACAAATGTGTAAATACAATACGTAATGCAAAAACTAAATATGTCCGTAAACTATGTGGAATGCTGGGTAACAATACACGTGGGAAGTCTTGGTGGAAAACGGTAGGTAAACTTATGCTTAACACCAACAAAACCTGTAATATACCACCCATTCATACACAAACTTCTATTTTTTCTGATGACATTGATAAAGCAAATGCATTTAATGAATTCTTCTGTCTCAACTCTACCGTCGATGATACTAATGCTGAACTTCCACCTACTACTAACAACGAACCTCTTCTTAGTCATATATATATAGATAGGAATGACATTATTTCTGTTCTATTAAATCTAGATTGCTCTAAGGCAGTCGGACCTGACCTAATTAATCCTAGACTCCTTAAGGAGGCAGCAATAATCTTGAGTTACCCCCTCCAAGTAATCTTCAATAACTCTTTAACTACTTCATATTTTCCTAATAATTGGAAATTAGCTAATGTTACGCCAGTGTTTAAAAAAGATAACCCTTCTCTTCTCAACAATTATCGTCCTATATCATTAATATCTATTGTCGGAAAGGTAATGGAAAGATGTGTATATAAATATCTGTATAAGTTTATTATTGAGAACTCTCTATTATCATCTTCCCAATCCGGATTCAGGGCTGGTGACTCTACAATTAATCAATTACTCGCCATTACTAATGATATATATTCGGCTTTAGATAAAGGTAAAGAAATTAGAATGGTCTTTTGTGATATCAGCAAAGCCTTCGACAGAGTATGGCATGCAGGGCTACTTTTTAAATTACATAAAATAGGCATTGGGGGGAGTTTGCATTTGTGGTTTAGAAGTTATTTAGATAACAGAAAGCAAAGAGTAGTTATAAATTGTAAAACCTCTGAGTGGAAAGTAATAAGGGCTGGTGTTCTAATTTTTATAAATGACATAGTTGACGACATTAACGCAATAATAAAACTATTTGCCGACGACACTTCACTTTATGCTATAGTAGATACTCCGCTTCAATGTGCAGACTTACTGAATGACAGTTTAAGGAAAATATATGCCTGGTCTGAAAAATGGTTGGTTACTTTTAACCCTGATAAAACTGAATCTCTTCTGATTAGTAGAAAACTCAATAAGCCCCATCACCCACCTTTACTTATGAATGACGTTCCTGTTAATGAGGTCAAACATCACAAACATATAGGACTCTTCTTCTCTCATGATGGTACTTGGTCTGAACATATTAACTTTATGATAAAGAAAGCCTCTAATAAACTCGCTGTTTTACGGAAATTTAAGTTCAAAATAGACAGAAACTCTCTACAAACTTTGTATTTTTCATTTATCAGACCTATTCTAGAATATGGCGATATGGTCTGGGATAACTTAACTATTCAACAATGTCAGTCTTTGGAGAATATTCAGCTTGAAGCTGCTAGAATTATGACGGGTGGGACTAAACTAACTAGTCATGCTAAGCTTTATGAGGAAACTGGGTGGGATAGTCTACAATATAGACGCAATGTTAAGAAAACAGTTCAAATACACAAAATGATTTTTGGTCTCTCTCCCCCATATCTCTCACAACTACTTCCTCAGCACAGAACCGACGCTCATCAATATAATACACGTGATGCTGATAATCTGAGTAATGTATTTTGTAAAACTAATTTATTTAAGAAATCTTTTCTTCCTTCTTCTATCGACCTTTGGAACTCGCTACCACCACTAGTAAAAAATAACCCCTCTATAAGTAATTTGAAAAAATTACCTACACAGACACTCCCGTACTGTCCCTCCTTATTATAATTTTGGGAATCGTCTTGACCAGGTTCATCACGCTAGGATAAGGATGTCCTGCAGTTCTTTAAATGCCCACCTGTTTAGTCGTAATCTTGTCGATAGTCCTTATTGCTCCTGTAGACAGTCACACGAAACTACTGAACATTTTCTTCTATTTTGTTCTAATTATACAGACATAAGAAATGGATGTTTTTTAAATTTGCCCGAAAATTACACACTCGACATGCTTTTGTACGGAGATCCAAATCTAACTATCAATGAAAATGAAAACGTTTTCCGTTGTATACAATATTTTATTTCTAAAACCAAACGTTTCGCAAATTAATAGTGCTACCTCATTGATCCCAGAGAGTTGTGTGAACTAACACATTTGCGTATGTTTAATTGATGTACAATATGTAATTATGTACAATGTAGCAACTACAGTTTAGTATCATAATGGTATTAAAACACTTCATTATCCCCCTTTCTCCCCTGCCCCCTCCTCTCTCTCTTTCTTTCACTCTCCGTCTTTCTTTCCTTCATATATTTACAAAGTTTATCACTTGTCTATTTCAAACATATTTCTTACTAAGTATGTTGTAAAGTTTTTAGTGTTGTCACCTGCTTGTCATTATTTAAGGAGACAGATTCATATAAGTATGTAATACTTTTTTCTGAATCCTTATATTAATTATGCATATTATGTATACATAAAAATGAATGAAATAAAATATGGTTTAAACTAATACTGATCAATATCATCTTCGTCTTAATAGACTCTTTAATGTTTCACTAGCAAGAAATCAAATATATATTACCGGCTTTTCCCCAAATACATGGAATAACCCATCTTGCCGGTTTACTGCAATGTCGTCCATTAGTGCAATAAAAGCAATGTGTTCTTTCAACCTATTGCAGATGCCGAACGCCAGTGAACGTTTTTTTTTAAAAAAATAAAGTCAATGGAGATAGGAAATTAATATAACTTTATGTCAGTTAAGAAATTCTGTAAGTAACTTGAACGCCGATTTATGTAATTCCTAGCTAATTCATAGCTATGTTTGTACTTGAGGTCATCAAGTTAAAAGTTGCTCTCACTTCTTTCTTTGTCCTCTTTTCACTAACCAAAGACAACTCCATTTTACTTCTGCCCTGAACGAACGTATTCCATTCAAACATTTCTAACTGGTTGCCATGAGCTAGATGCAGTTACAAATGATTCCATACTTGAGTTGATTCAGAGATCCATTACTGATACCAGACGTCTTTTAAAGTAAACGTTCCGTTCGTATATTGTTGTGTCAGGTTTTTGTCGGCTTGTTTCTGTATAAATTCAGCAAATGAAAGTGAAAATGTATAGGCAGTTTGTTTTTGCTGCCTTCCATGCATACTGACATTCGGAATGATCCTTTTCCAGAGACAATGAGTGATATTGATACCATTAAATGTAAGTATTTAATATTTATTACTGTTATTTGACTGATGTGTATATTTGTTTATATTAGCAAAGAGATGGCCTGTATAGGCTATACCTGTTGCCCAATCTCTTTTGTCAGTAAAATCATGATAATGAAATATTGCGAAATGAAGAACACGTACTCAATCCATCTGAAATCCTTTTGGTAAGATATGTTGTAATTAATAAATCTATGTATAAATGCAGTCTGTTACCATGTCATGGCGCGTACCAAATCAACCGCTAAAAGAATAGTGTTCTAGAAGAATACTGCATATACTGCATTAATCGCATACTAAGAAATTCTTGTCATTGAACTCCAGCTGATTTGTCAATAATTGGGTGACGATGATATATAAATTACACTTATTCCCTGGTATGATATGGTTTATTACTTCTCCAACAAACTTTAATAATCCTTGTCTTTGTCTTTATGGGTTTTCTTTTCTCTACTTTTCAGTAAGCTTGCAAATTTCTATCCTAAAAATCGTTGGATCCTCAGTACAGCTTCTGTAAAGAGAAATTTTAATTGATACTTGTGCATGTACATACTGGAATTTGATTAAAGATCAAGACAAACAGTGGGAGAACATTACTATTTGAACTGATAAGAATCTTTTGCTGCGTCTAAATTCGAAACATAACAAGCCGGTATTTAAATACTACAAAATATGTCCTGCTTTCAAAATACTAAAAAACAAATTAATGGTACAGTTTTATAACGCCTGTTTTTTGTATTTTATTTTTAATGTTTAACAATTTTAGTTGATCAAGTAAAATACGATACAAATTAATTAATTATATGGTGTTTTTCTCCAGTTTCTAGAAAACTGTGAAAGACAATAACAATGTGCAAATGTACAAACGACATGATTGAAAGGTTTACAGTATTTATGGAAAACTAGAAGAGAAAACACGCCAGTCGGAGAAATTCTATAAGAACTAACGCTCTACCAAGTTCAGGTGATTTATTTGTTTATTTCATTTCATCTTTTATTTCTATTTTTTTTTCTTTTTAATTACATATCACTTAAGTCAGTATACGGGTAAATGCAAAGGGTTAAATGTATCTTTATCTTTCTCTTACCCGTAGCTGTACTTGCCGACGAGAGCGTACCCTTCCTCAATCTCAAACTCAAATCCAAGTTTGAAAGAATACAGTACATTCGGTATGAAGCAATCGGTGAGACAAATACCTGCAATAAAGACGTTCGATTTGAGCTCATTTTCTCTTTGTAATTCGGCTATATTGCTAGCGTTTAATTACGATATCAGGTACAAACAAAATAAACAAGTTATCGGTAACCGACACAAATCTACCCAATCGGCTTGTTTTCCATGGACTGGTTTTGGAATTCCTGAGATTGACCAATCAAAAAGAACTTAACTTATTGTGTCGAAAGGAAATATTTTTTATAGAAACAATAACTTTCAATTTTATGAAAGCAGTGTATGAAGTTTCACATGGATCAGTCAGCGGAAACTCAAGTTATTCAACGGCAATGAATTTTCAATTCATAGTAACAGTGACCTTTATCTTTGACCTGTCACATCGAAATGCAATCCTATGCAAACAGCATCGGTAAGGAAGCACTAAGGAAAGTTTGAATTGATCAGGTTCTAAAAGAACACAATTATCGGGTTAAAACCAATTCTTTAATTACACTTGTATTTTCACCCAAAAAAGAAACAGTAGGCAAGCACTTCCTATAGAAAACATTGTGTGAAATGCTTGAGTCTGCTAAGTTTTTGTACCAAAATGGACAGGATGACGGAGGGACGCAGTTATTCTGATATTTAAAATGGACTTTAAATTTTCTTTTTAATACCGTATGGTACTTTTGTCAACATGACATTGTTAGCAGTAGGATTTTGAATTGCATAACTAAAGTATATATATAGATTTTATCTCCTTTGAAGAAAATTGGCTAGCCTAAAGGTTTACCGTGAATCTGAGGCCATGAACGGGGCGTTAAAACATCAAACAGAGTTGTTTGTTTTTTTTTCACTTCAAGCGCTGTTCATCAAATTTTCATGAGATGACTATGTTACATGTCTCTTTGTATTATACATTCTCTGGAAGGGATTTAATTGTGTTTGTTATACCGTTCTTTTTTTAAAATATGATGAACATCGCATGTCCTTTAAATGCTTTAAGTCATCGTCCAAAACCCGATCATGAATTTCTTGTCAGACCTCGAGAGGCCCCTTGGCATTTACTCTTCTTAGCCCTATTTAGAGATCAGTGCGACTCTGGTAATCTACCAGAATGACAGGTCCAAACTCGCAAATAGAGACGAGTATACTTAATGGTCTGTCTGAAAGCAGACGTTATACATGTGACTAAACACGATAAGTCAGTAAGGAAAAAGATACAATAACAATTTATGTATATATAAAAGAGTAGAGGAATTCAGTTTCGGTTGATTCTGAGTTCGGAGGAATTTAGCTCAGAATTAGAATTAATGTCAGTCAGACACCGTTGGTGGTGATTAGAATTTACAAATCCTCTGTCACAGATATATTACCTTGAGTGGGAATAAGAAGACCAAACAAATGTTTGCTGAAGATAACCACTACGGCAAATATGAAAGCATTTCCTCTTTGGGAATGTGGTATCGGTTCATATAAAACAATTTTCCGAACATCACATGGCTACGAAGGAGTAGGACACATCAGAATTCCAGCCTTGGTATCGGCTTTTGTTGTCTTGCATGCTTGACACTGAGGACATGAGCGTATATATATCGTTATAATAAGAGACAATTAGGGAAAACAGCAATGTTCGTTGAATGTATAAAGATTATGCTGGATACCAAAATGTCCTCCCATAGTTGAATCAGGATAAAGGTAAAGGGCAGATCTTCCTCTTGCACAGTAAGCTGGTAGCACTGTAGTGATGTGGTCCGCTTTGCGTTGGCAATACGTGAATGAAAAACATTCGATATACCAAACTATAATAAAAAGACTAAATAAAATCTTCGAGATGCTGTTTGACAGCCTGGTAGTAATTGATTTTCGAAATAGGATATAATTGATCCAAAGGTGGAATCATTTGGCAAATAAAATATCTCCTCTAGTTCATTTATGACTTTCTGTACTAAATTTGCACGAGATGGTAGCAAATTGTTGTCTCTTGATACTACTCGTGCAACGACATTGATGTCATCTACGGTTCTGAAGCATCTCCCTGTGTAAATACTGCAAAGATGATGTGATTGTCCTTAGATATTGGCGGTGCCTTAATCAACTGCGGATCGTGTTCAGCATCCTGCAGATCGGTACCATGGCAATAAATCTCTGTCCGAGATGACGGTTGCAGTCAGTATGAAATGAAACCTTAGTCTCGGGAATGGAAGAATTGTCTCCTCCTATGGGTCGGCTTCTAAAAGCACAAATGGTTGGATGCAGAAAGATGCCTGATTTAGCATATTCTTTGACGCTTGCCATACGTATCATGAATCTGGTCCTCGGAATCACCATCATAGCCATCATCCTCATCGTGAATAAGGGTTGTCTTAGATGGAATAAACGAGACGAGCTGAGTGTATATTGCTGACCTGGTCATTTTCAGATGAAGAGTGTCCTATGAGGTCTGCAAGGCGATGTCCTCAAGGGAGATAAATGTCACCAAGGTTGTCGGCTATATAAGGAATAAATTTTCGAAACCACTTAAACATTCCAAGGAGTCTTTGCAATTCTTTGATTGTTATGGGTGGTTTGTGATTGACTGGAGGCAAAATGTCATCCTTAAAACTTTTCTGATCTAGGAATTTCCTTGGGCCTAATTTTGGTGCAGCAGAGCTTAGTCTCTGAAACGCTTTCTCTAGATCTGTGAAATGCTTGATGCCTACACATGTGATGTAAAAATATATTCTGTATGATCAAAGAGTTGTACAATCTGCACGTGGTCACGCAGTGTTGATCCTCGAGTAACGTTTAAGGACATTTCGTCCCAGCGAAGCAAGAATCGCTAAATAACACAAATTTGTTCATATTAAACAGTCAGTAACCATTTTAACATACTTAAAACGTCACGACACCAGCTTAGAATTCACCACCATGTAGAGTTCGGGGCAATTTAGCTCAGAATTAGATCAAATTAACTGCTTAAAACAACGCTTATTTTGGTCCGCGTGCTCTGTTTCTTCCAAATCTCACATCAAATACCATTTCCCCTCCTCCTCCTCTTCTTCCTCCTCCTCCTCGTTATAAGTCTGACAAGAATTATTGCTGTTCCCCAGTTTCCAAGTACTACACGAATTATACACATAACACTGAACAGTTAGGTAAATAATTAAACTTACCTTTGAGCTGACAACAGACTGGCTTCTGTTCGTCCCTACCCACCAACACATGGTTTTCAGGACAACGGAAAGACTCTGTCCTGTTATCGTCATCTGTCAAAGAAAGTCTTGCATATTATTGTCATTATGTCGTCAATATTCGCAAAATACTATTTGAATTTACAAAGCTAAAAGAAAAACAAAACAGTAAGAGTTGTTTCCCTTCTATTATAGGTGTGATTACTCATCATGCCAGTGTAATGAAGATTTACTGACACGATGTCAAAGAAAATCTACTTAAAACAACTTTCACATGCATTTGTCCGTCATTACCTAGAATAACACAGTGGTCCTTCCTTTGAGTCGTTGCATCGCACGATAATTGGAATTTCCCAATGAGCGGATCAAAACGACTGTTGGATGGAAGAGAATCTCCAGGGCAGTTTTCGAAAAGGGCGGGTTGGTCACACGGTGCAGCGCTACAATACACGAAAAGGTCTGTTAAAGTGATTGCTTTTGAAAAATAACGAAATGCTTTGAAATTGGATCATTTGTCCTTCTTAGTTGAAACATTGATTTCGACTAACGTTATTTTTTTTCCAGAATCTCAATGCTTTAAGTCTAAAGCATCACCATCAAGACCTAGAAAAACAAACACCGCTGTAGTGCACTTAAATTCCTTATTGAGCGATACCATGCCTTAATTCGTATTGAAAGGCGTTATTCACTTTTATTTATTTTTAATTTAAATACATATTTGAAACGTTTTATAAATGTGATGATTAGTTCTCATTTCATCCGTTAGTATTTGAACTCGTGACCTCTGGCTTACTGGTGGCATGCTCCACCGATCGAGCTAAAGAGAAGTTTTCTCTTGCTGAGCTGTAGATTGCGACTAATATCTTAATAATATAATAATTAATTAATTATCATAATATCTCCACTTAAGAACATAATTCGTCCTCGAATTTTGGGTTTGCAGCAATCCTTGTAATGGAGAGCCCCTTCATAGGCGTCAGAGTTCATTATTAAATTTCAACTGAGGGAAGTCTTTAGCAGATTTACATACATTATATATCAAATTCAGAAATTAGTAAATATGTATATAAACCAGACAATTTGTTATCCCGTAGAATACCTGTCACATTGGTGTCTGATTTCTAACACGTTAGGGACTGTACAGTACCATACGTAAAGATGCGAAATCTATTAATGTTGACGGTGTAAAACATTGTCTATACATTCTCATTTTTATTACATTTGCAGATATTTTTCTCAAACCAGATGTGTGAAACTGATATTCGGATCGAAATGCATCCTAAAACATTATCCTCAACTTTCAGAATTCATGAATAAATAATCATATCTATTCTGAATCGCACAAAAGTATACAAGTTGCAACATATTATAGTCGCTCTCCATCAGGAATCCAGAACGAGGCTAGGGGAACTCTGTGAAACCCGACGTGATCGTGATTGTCAACCTCCATCTTCAGTAATTAATATCTAATTGATCTAAATAGTCTTATGAAAGTTTGAAAATAGACATGGTTTATTATATGAGGTGTCTCTTTTAGGCCATATTTCATTGAAGTAGCTGGAGGCGACCTCACAGAACAATAACGAAAAGTCAGTAGACTGCCATCCAATGAGAACGGGGAAAATGTCTTGCTGAAAGGACAAGATCACTACATAGCATGATGATCAGATTCATAAGCTGTCGGTGAAACACAAAACATATCGAATAGGGATTGTCAGATTACACATCTCTTTACGCGAGGTTTTCTGAGTTTGCTATCTCAAGCAAGTATTGATGAATGTTGTCATAACAGTAATTGTCATAGTGCGGTCAATACTCGACCTTCGCTCCGTAAATGATTTTTATGAAATACAAACAGTACATTTTACAAGAACAAGAACGTGAAATACCACAAATTGGGCCATCAAAAGATCTAAAACCATATTAATTAACTTTTATTGTTCTGTTTAAGGAACATCCTGCATGATTAAATTCCAACCGGATAGTCAAACTGTTTTAGGAGCATTTTGTGTCATTTAACTCCTTGTCAAACACATCGTACACTAAGTGAGAGTTCTTGTATTTCAGGTTTCTAAAATTGTGTCGTGTTTAGTTTAGCGCATTGAATGCCACTATCTTGTTTTATAAGTATCTGCAGCTTTATTTCTAAAAGAGGAAATAAAACTTTTCATAACCTTTCATAAGACTTAATATGTTTGCAACAAACTTACGCCTTTTCAAACTTACGTGGTAGTTCCGAATATTCTCGACTCCACTTTGTTGACGAAAAAACCAGTTATCAGTACCAGGCAGATATTCCCACGTGTGACCGCCATTGTTCGTATCCGGATGTCAGTTGGTTGTCAGATAATGCCAAATCTGTTCAAAAGAGCGTGTTGCAAAATATCGATTCAAATTGCTTTTGATCTATATAAAATAAGGTGATATATGTATATATATATATATCTGTGTGTGTATATGTGCGTGCGTGCGTGCGTGCGTGTGTGTGTGTGTGTGTGTGTGTGTGTGTGTGTGCATAGATATCTAACCTAGATGCTGCACGGCCTATCCGCCGCTGTTGACGCAACATGTCTGCAGCGCCGCCATCTTGGGAAGGTATTGCCGCTAGCGCAAAACCATAGCTACACAGTGGGCCTCATGCTAGAAATCACACTAAAAGTGTAGCTCGGTCACTAACCCACGTATCAACACAAATACTTCATTTTATAGCTGAGAAAAAGTTCTATGCTGTAGTCATCTTAAAGAGGAGTTATCGGGAATCAAAATTATAGAAAAAATAACGGAAATGTTTAAAATGTAAAATTATTGAAAAAAAAAACCCAACTTATTTTGCATAGGTTAATTTTAACAATAAACTGACATATGATAACCAACCCCACCCCAAAAAAAGAAGAAAAAAAATAATATAGAAATATTAAGAAATGATAAATAACATTTTATTCAAATTCATTTTTTTTAAATAGTAATAAATAACTTGATTGTGGCAATGGAAAAGGCAATATAGAAGTAAGGAACAATATACCCCAGGATTTACGCACTTAATTTGTAGAGTGAATAACATGTGTGAATACATATCCCAATCTATTAAAGGTTATATCAGCATGCAGAACACCGAATGCAGAGTACCACACAGCCGCTAACAGCCTCTGACTATGAGATGCACTAATTAATAATATATATAATCAAATGCAATGTGACTGTGGGAGTCTTAGTAAAAAACATGAAACTAAGAGACATTTTCATTCATATTTTAATACATAACAATATGCAGGGTGAATATCCAAAATGACACAAGAAAATCAAGTGCACAATAAAAGTATGTCTTGATATTTATATGAGTAATAATTATAAATAATATAATCCCACTGGCTACTTTCTTGAATTTTTGTGCATTATGAATGAGGAGACCACAGCAAAACAATGTAAGGTAATATACAGTCGGATCTCGCTTACAGGCGAATCTAATGAAGTGCAGCATGTCTTTGCTTTCACACTTAACATTCACATACATATGTAGAGAAGGTAAACCTATAATCCAACAACTGTTTGAAATCGATGCAACAACAACCACATAATTCATGACAATAATGAAAACAAGTACAGTTTGACCTTGCTTGAAGTGCACACTACTTTATTTTAAGTCCCATACCTACTAGTCAAATACAAAGTATACACTTTCTACATATGCAGCACTGATACTATCTGTCTACATGTTCTGTATTCATCACTAATAAGCCCAAGATATCTATATATTGTACAATGTATAGGCTAGTTGCTTATTTTGTCACCAAAATGAAACACTGTCAAACACAAAACGTAACTGTAATCAATCACACTACTACATGTCAGTTTCACAACAGCATGTTACAGCAAAATACAAAAAAAAAAAAATACTCCTTACATGAGGTGATTGACCATCTCTTAATATAGCTGCTGAAGCACTTAATGATAGTAGCCCCCAAAAAACCCCTGTTTTATCATTACTTGAAACACTGTTACAATGACATCTACTACTTAGAACTATATATATGTTTACAAGCCAAAATGAATAGGCCCTATCATACAAAGGTAAATTGGAATGGTACACATTCTGTAGAACATCAATTTGTACAGCTTGTACAATACCTTCCAAAGATGGCGGAGCGCTAGACACGTCACAGGCCCCGCCATGCGGCATCTAGGATAAGCTATCTATGTGTGTGTGTGAGGATGAGGGTGTGTGTGTGTGTGTGTGTGTGTGTGTGTGTGTGTGTGTGTGGGTGTGTGGGTAGGTGTGTGTGTGAATAGGTGGGTGTGAGGGTATGTGTGAGGGTGATCAATGAAGTAATAACGACAGTACAGGTGAATTGTCATGTGGCAGATTGCCTCGAAAATTTGACAATTCACTTGTCGTTATTATTTCATTGATCATATATCTATTCCAGTAAAATGCATCCAACGAACATCTGTTTGTTAGGATCCAGTACCAATATTGGACAATACCGTGTATAGCACTTACGAGATTCTATATGCATATATAATGTACATTTATGGTCGTCAACCCAATACAATTAAATCTATAGCTACCTTTACTGTTAGCCATTTCCGAAGTCGATTTCACGGCTGTTAGCCCTACCTAACATCCGGTCTTAGGCAAACGCGTGGTTAATCCATAAACGTACTAAATTAAAGATAATTAAGTTATTTTTACATCTCAGATATAGTTTAAGCTTATACTATATAGTCAGTCACCTTAAAATCATTTTTACATATCAAAATCATGTCACATGGTTATAACTGAATCTTAACTGAATGATCCTCTGAAGTGACGGAGAATGCAGAGAACACGACCAAAAGACACGAGAACATTTTTATTCAACCAAGGAATACTAGGGGCTTGAAATAAAAGCAACTTACGTTTGATGCTAGATGTCATCTTTTTCTCTTTTTTGTCGATTGTACAGTATCTATCTACACTAGAATAATGACAGAATTATTGAAATGTCCCCGACTACTAACTAGTAATTACATAAACCGAAATGCCTTGGGCTATTTGTAAAATCACATGACTGGAGTATCTAAAATTCGACAAAAATGGTTTTAGATTTAACTCAAAAGGAAGCTATTTCTGCAACATCCGATGGAATTTTAGAAATCCATTTATTAACTAGAAAAAATGTCACAATCATTTTGATTCAAGTAAACAGCAACATGCGGCATTAGACGACAATAAGTTATTAAGTTGTTGTAAAATAAGTAAAGTATAAATTTTTTGTAAAGTAGAACACCAAGATCGCATGTGCTGTTTCAAATCAACAATGACAAATAGTGACAGGAAGAAGAAATAATGACAAAACAATGAGAATACTTAAATATTACCAGATATGCTCTTATTTTCTCTGAAACAATTATTCAACATTCTTCTGTTCAAAGTAATATATTAGAGAGAATATTTAAGGTCGTTTACAATGACCTTGATTTTCCAGATTTTCTCATCTACGTAGAATTAATTTAGTTATATATTTATCTACAACACGGTGACAAATACAATGAAAATCACTTCTTATATTACTAAGTTAACTATTTTTGTTGGTCGTTCACCATTTCAGTTTTGCCAGGCAAAGAAAGTTTTTAAAACATAGAAATAAATAACACGCACTTTCATTTTTTTCAGCATTACTACTGTTTTAACTTTGTTTTAACTATACAACGGCCAGAACGGCGAAACAATATATAAATTTACCTCTGTGTCCTTCAGACACACAACCCTCGAGAGAACAATTTCTAAATTTAGCACTCGGTAAAGCCTCCTGAAAAAACTTTTAGACGTATTATACATCAACCGTCAACACAGAACCAAAATTACAGCCAACATCTTAATCTGTGCGTTTGTCTCGTTTGAGTCCAGTGTTCAGTCATATATTTCAACTTACAAACAAAGAACACGATTGGTTTGCTCACCTTGGTGTGCGGACAGCTACTCTGCAATCACATCGAATGTAAATGCAAGTTTTCGTAATAGCTAGTTTGGCTGACACTCAAAAGTCATTTTATTTTTGTGACAATCAGCTGTTACTTTTCACTTTAAATCCATAAAAATGGTTATATGTTTTCCTTTCGGCATGTTTTCTCAATAAAATATATACACATCCATATTTAATTTCATTTGAATTGGTTTTACATGACGCCAAATGTTTCACTACCATTAAACATTATATAATCATTATATCGGCCAAGGTGACGCTGACAACTGTACTTGGTTTTTCTTTTCAATTTCAATGCTTTTTCCTTGTTGGCATTTAATTTTTTTTTACATTGATCTGGTCTAAAGTTTAACAATCAAATCAGCATTCCAGATTGTTAAAAAGAATTCAGTCAACCTACGCTTTATAATTGAATGTTAAAGTGACTGTTCGTCATTGCCTGTGACATATGGGCTTTTAATATATCCTAAATCAATCTAGGTTTGCCTGAAAATATCAGGACATTTCTATCTTCTATAAGAAAGTCCTTGATCAACTTAAATTAACTATGACATGTACACTTAGTCTTCCATCATCTGAAATTAATTATGATATAGAAATCAAGTGCTTTTTCTTGTGTATCCTAATAAACACATCCTCTACAGAGACATTCCCCGTCAGCGCCAGCCAAGATTAGGAAATCTAATGTCTTATATTTTTCGGCAATTTCATAGCATTTAAACAGAAATAAACGTACTTACTCTTAGATCAACTGAATTGATTATGTGTCGGGTGCTGTTGAAACTCGAATCATGCAAAATTTTACCCACTCTGATATGATTTATTTTATTTCAACAGATTTTATGAGCTAACCATCATCAGATGACGGGCTTTTCTAATCCTTTCTGTCCTCAAACAATTCTTTTTGTTAGTATTTATGGAGAAGCAACCCATGAATCATTTTCAAATTTCATATTTTGATTTGCATTAGTCCCTGGTAGTGCATAATCAATTTTGCGACTTACCAGAAAAAAAAAGAAACCAAAATGACTGATAGGCAGCCATCGTGGTTTTTTTTTCAGATATTGTTTGTTATTACTATTTCTGGAAAAGTATGGTGGTTCATTCTCATATTTGATACAAAGGTCATGTTCATTGCTAGATATCCGTAGTCCATTTTGAGACTAATTGAAAAAAAGGAGAAACCCCCGCTGAAAAGCGGCTGTCTTTAAAGACCAGCTATAACTATAAGTATCTCTTTTTTAAGTTATAAACTTTTTAAAACTTGCTCAGACCTGTTATGATTTTTAATTTTTAGTGTGAAGTAAAGAGGACATTTGCAGCCAGTTGCTGACATGCATTTAAACAGATAG